TTAAAACCGAGAGAGCACCTGGGGAGCAGCAAATGTAGGGAAAGGTTTTCTCTGAGGTTTGCCCGTCTACCTAAAGGCTGCATCCTCCAGCAGATATTCAATTGCGAATTTCTTCCCCAGGTTTCTCATCGACTAGGGAAACCATCAATGCATGTTGCAGGAAGGACGAGGAGAGCAGACACCACACTCAGAGCCCAGATGAGCTTTGTCCCCGGCTATTATCTGTTCTTTGGGTCCATTCACCTCCCCTAAACATCATTTGCTCTTCCTCTAAGACTGCCTGCATCCGCCACTTCACTCCCCTGTGGAGAGAGCGTCTGAGCTCTAACCATCTGGCCCTTCTTTGAGTTTCCTACTTTGTGTGACTCTTGGGCACTTGCATGTTAATAAATTTGTGTGCTTGTCTCCTATTAATCTATCTAATGTCTGTTTATTTCAGACTAATTATCAAAACCCAGAGACATGAGGGGAGTGTTTTAAAACTTCTCTACAGCACCATAAGTGATAACACTCTGAAGTAAAGAACTTGGCTAAATTTGTTTAACCCAAGGTTCATCAAATTAATGTGACCACATCTTTTTTAAATAACACCTATGGATACATCAAGCACACTTGGGAAAATCTTGTGTAGACCCTAGTTTCTGCCTTCTAAATCGTCACCATTCAAATATATCACCTGTAGGATATTAAAGGCCACAGGCTATTTTGACTGTATAACAAGTGAAACACACAGACAATTGTCTAAATTGATGGCTTGAAGTCTGCTAGGAATCTACTATTAATATTTGGAGTCTTCATGTTTGCAAATTGCTGTTAACCCTCGTTACTCAAGGTGTGGTGTGTGAACAGCAGCATGGGCAACTCAGCCCACCCCCGGGCCTACTGAATCTAAGACCTGCATCTTACCCAAGTGATTCATATGTGCTTGAGTTTGAGAAGAACTCCTATAAACTATAAACTGCAATATAGATGTTAGCTGCATTATTATTAATGAAAAAACTAGTAATAATTTCTTAACCTGCTTTCAGAGACTTTCACAGAATCATCTCATTTGGTTTTCACAGCGATACTGACAGATTTTTAAAACATGTTTATAGAAGAGGAAATAAACTTCAGAGAAGTGACACATTATATTGAGATATGATTGGTCCCATAGTTGGGAATGAAGTTGCAACTCATTGTTCAGGCACCAGGCCATGGTTTTCAATGATCAAGACATTTGATGTCCAATTAAACTGGGAGGTGAGGCCCTGGCATCCCTTTGAACATCATTTTGCAGTCTCTGCTAGGATATGGCTCCTCTCTGAATGCTCAGGGCTGTCCTGTGCCTCTATCACGAGGAGAGAAGTGACAGTCCAGTTCACACAGCCAGCCCCTCCTGTCTGCTTCCCAATTGTCCAGAGAGCTCTCAGCCCCTGTGTGGGGCCTGAGTCCAAGGCTCAGAGTTAAGTAGACCCAGTGGCCAGGATCACAGATTCCTGACCAGGAAGGCGAGCCTGGTCCTCCCACCAGAGGGTGAGGGCTTTCTAACGCCAATCCTACTAGAATGGCCCCTTCTAATCAGATTGGGGACCAGACCAGGATGAACGTAGGCTGTGATCGAAAAGAATGCAGGTTTAGTGAGAAAAGAAGAGAAGTACTTATTTCTCAAGAAGTATTATTTAAACCTAAGAATTAATTTTTTAAAACAATTCATGACGTCAGATTATTTATTTGGCTATTTAATGGTTGTTTTGTTTAGCCATTTAATAAAGGGTTGTGATTTTGGTTTTTAAAGGGGTGGAGAAACATATTGCACTCTAGCTCAGCTGACGGTATCTACAACTTAAGCCCCCTCTGTATTCAGGCCGTGTGACCCCAGCATGGGAGCAGCCACCTGAGTGCAGGAACCTAAGAGGAGGACAGTCTGAGGGCCGAGCTCGAAAGGTGGAAGCAGCCACCGGCATGCTAACCCCCCCTGGGCCGGGTGATCCAGTCTTATGTGTGAAACGCATTCAATGACATTCCCAGGTGCAGTGATAGGGCCATTCTGGAAATGATTTGGCTCTTTATCAAGAATCATAACAGTTGTATCTTAGGTGAGACTGGCTGCTTTCAATACTTGTTTGACTTAGTTATCCTATTTCTGGCAATGTGTCTAGAAGAAATAACCTACGGCATAGGAACGTTTAGACGAAACAGCTCAGCACAGCATTATTTTGTATATTCAAGCACTGGCAGTCCATCCCGTCTGAGAGGAAGGGAACAGTTAAATGGCCTGCAGTGTGTCCACCTCGTGATTTGTTGAGTAGCCATATTTCAAATGATGTCGATGTTCAAGTGTATTTGGTATGGAACTGGATTATCCCTCTGTTGCCTTTCCATCCAATAGGTGAAAATGGCGGAAACAAAGTTAAAAATTGTAAGACAAAGATTATTTGCACTTTACTACTATAACATTTGGCCTAAGACATTACGAAGGGCCTGCCTAGACTGTCATCTCGTCTGCCGGCCATTCTCCAAGTCCCGCCCTCTCCACGCCCTGACTCCCCGCCCTCCTTTCCCTGTGCAGCTGCTACCGCACACTTTGCTCCCGGGGCTGGAGCTGGTGTTTTCATTAAGTACCTGTCTCCTCTGCTGGGCTCCCTGACGTCACTGACTGGGGTGTTTTTTTGGTGGTTTTGTTTTTACCTCTTTTGTTCCGCAGCGCACGCAGCCCAACTCCTGAATCCACTCGCTCACCGTGTCCTATCCATCCTGCTTTCCAGCTCTCCTCAGTTCTGTCCCCCCTCTCTGTCCCTGCCACTAAGGCCGAGCTCTCTCCCACAGGGGCCGCCCCTCACCGGCCGTCAGTGCTGCCAGGCAGGCTGCTGCTTGCTGCAAGTTCCAGAAAACTCATGTGCAGTGGCTTACACCGTAAGGGGAGTCAATTCTTCTTATTTGGGAGAAAAGTCCTTTCCACAAAGCCCTCTAGAAGACTTTCCTGCAGGACCTGCAGGCTAGGATCCAGCCACATGTCCACACCTTAGCCGCAGGGGAGGCTGGGAAGCGTCCCTTGGCATTTTCAATCCCGGTAGTGGGCTGCAGGCTTGGCCAGGAGGAAGGAGAGAAGGTGAAGAAGGGGCAGCTTCCACTAGGGTGTTAGGGCAGGGAACCAGCAGTGTCTGCCTCAAACTTGCCCACCTTGGCTGGGTCTGGCCACCCCTTTACTTCATTCCAAATATTACCATCATTCACTCATTCATTCATTCATTCATTCATTGCATTAGTCAGATCCAGCCAGGTTATATTGCAGTCACAAACGACCTTCAACTACCGGTGGCTTGGAATAACAAAAGCTTATTTATTTGCCCATCGTGTCAACTCAACCCTCACTGGCCATGGCGCGGGGGGAGAGGAGAACACAGAGATCTGCCCCAGCCGTTAAATGCTTCCACCCGCAACTGACATGTATGTATTGACCATGAACTGCCCACGTCCCACTGGCTAAAGCAAGTCACATAGCCACGCCTCACTTCAAAAGGCACAGAAGAGCAGCCATCCTTTGTGCAGGGTGAGCAGCAGAAACAGTTACCACATTCAGCAAATATTTACTGAGCATATACTGTATCCTAGCCTGGGTCCTGAGATGCATTGGTGAACAAAACAAAGTGCTCTGAAAGCCTTTACAGCCTAGAGGAAATAGTCCACTCCCTCCTTTATACCCTCATGCTAATCTACAAAGACTCCCACTCTACCGCCTCTTGCATTTTTATTGCATTAAAACAAAACCAACCTGGCTGCCTCCTTGAATAGACTGTAAAACCTTAAAGAAGTCTTCTCCCTTCTTATAAACCTAATACCTAGAACAGCACCTAGCACTAGCAGAAACTTAATAAATGTTTGTTGAATGATGTATGAGATAGGATGAACTCAGCTATTAGGAACAAGAAGCTTAACTGACATTGGCCTAAACAAACACAGTTTGTATTTTCACATGATGGAAAGTCAAACAGCCAGTAGCTGCCAGGATTGGATTCTCTGCTCAGCAGCTACATCCAGGACCCGGGCTCTTTCCAGCCTTCCACTGTCATTCCCTCAGCTTTTGGGGTTTTCCTTCTTATGATGGTGCCTCAGGGCCACGAGAGTGCTGCCGCAGCTCCAAATAACATACAGTATTCATTTTAAAGGGAGAAGCAGCAGAAGGGCTGCAGGGGGGCTCTCCTCTTGTTAGCAGGGAACAAAAGCCTTCCCAGAAGCCATCTAGTACCTCACATCTTACAACCAAAACATGGATCACGTAGCACAGACAGGCTGGGGGAGAAAATATCTGGATTTCCTATCTCTGTGGTTGGAGATGGCAAAGAAGTGGCCAGGAATGTTCTGTGTAGCCGACCGAATGTGCACCACAAACAAGGAATATGTGCTCAATAAATACTTAGTGGTGGAGGTTCAGGTGTTTATAATCTGGTTCTTTATTTTTAACAGCGTATAAAGAACTCCCGTCAATCCGATGACCAAGCACTGCTGAGCACATCTTCTGTTCGCACCGGGCTCTGTCAAGCAAGTTATGTGAATTTTCTCACTCTATCTCTGCAACCCTATGACAGAGGTATTGTCAAGCTCTGTGTTACGTACGAAGAAACTGAATCCCAGGGCAGTTAAGCAACTTGCCCGCCTTGTTCATTTCCCAGCTAGCGCAGGCGGAACAGGGATCGGAACCCCAGTGGTCTGAGTGCAGGGCCCGCGTTCCTGTCCTGGAACGTTGGGTCTAAGGGGGGTGAGAGCTCCTCAGACTCGAGCCCTCTGTATCCACGGTGCTGAGCAGAGGCCCAGAGATGGGATGTGACCTGCTCAAAGTCACAGCATGAGCCTACGTCAGAGCCAGGCCGGGAAGCCCCGAGGCCTGACTTCCCAGCCACGGCTCCCTCTGTCACGCTGGGCTGCCTCTGTTAGAAACCTCGTGTTAAATAAGAAAAGCTAAAAAAAATAATAATAATAATAATAATAAAAAAAATAGAAACCTCGTGTTAGTTCACCGATCTTCAAAAAGACAAAACGCCAAACTCGGGGTCCTGAGAATGCTTCGATTTAAAAGAGAATTGTATTTGACTTAAGGTTTGGCAGATTAGAACAGGTGGTTTTGTTGATAAGTTGCTTCAAACTTTTACCCATTTGAGTGGAAACTCTAGTCTGCGTAATATTTTTCAGTTCTCAAGTAATAAGAGGAAGAATGTAATGGTCAGAGCCTCAGCTGGGATGTACCGAGATTACTTCAAACCCCAGAAATGCCTTATTTGTAGAGTTTAATCACATCCGGTATAACTCAAGCCTTGGGAAGGCTCTTGATGGAGTGGAGAGTGTGTGGGTTCGAATCCCACCTCTTCCACCTGCTGGCTGTGGGACCCCACGACCCAGGCCCCGGGCGGAAACTAAGCAGAGGTGACGGGCAGAAGCTCCTGGCAAGAAACGGGCTCAGTAAGCGTTAGTTCCTGTCCCCCTGCCCCTGCCCCTGGGCTTCCCTAGGGCAGCTGTGAGCCAGCGCCCAAGGCACAGCAGTGCCCACCTGCCCGCACCTCCTGTGTCCTGAGCCAGAGCATCTAGTTCTCGACAGGACTCAAACCTTTTGGGGGGAGAGTTTGCTTAAATGGAAAAGCCAGTTTGGTGAGGCATTTAAGACACCCGGACAGTGAAGTTTGTAAGCCGGGGCTCTTGCATCAAACGGGGTTTCGACTCAGGCTCTGTCACTTCCCAGAAATGTGTGTGGTTACATAGCTGCCTTGGGTCTCAGCACGGTGTCGGTGTCGGCAGTGATAATAGTGCCTACCTCGTGGGTGCTGGAGAATTAGAAGGCGTCGCATGCGGCCCCAGAGCCGTGCTGCCCACTGGGGAGGCAAGTCCTGCGGGTCCGCAGGAGCCTTCAGCCTCCTCCGCGGCGTTTCCTGGGGGAGTGCTCAGTGCGGGGTAGGCTGGACATTTTCTCTGCTTCTCTTAAGGGTGAGGACAAGCCAGCAAACGACGTGGCAGCAGCGTGAGGTGCAGAGCAGAAGCGCCTGGGACTGCAGACTGCAGCGCGGGCTCCGGGCCTGGCTCCACCACCAGTTCCACGTGTCCTTCTGTTCTCTGGGCCTCAATTCCCGCTTGTACAATTCAGGATGCAAAGAGGTGATCGGGTCATTCCTGGCTTTTGACGTCCGGTGTAATCACAGCCGTCCGAACGTCTGCTCGCAAGCCTTGAGTGACCAGGACCGCAGGAAGCGGCAGTTCAGGGAAGGCTCAGGATCCTGCAGTTAGGGCTCGGGAAGGAAGACTTCTTCCAGATCCTCTCCCAGACCGAGAAGAGCTAATGAGGAAGGAATGGCCGTGCTTTCCTTGGGCAAACTGGAGGAGCCCTGGGCTTGTCCTCCTCCTCCTCGCCTCCCCAGCCTTCCTCCAGCCCCTTGGCCACGGTGAGACTCCCACCCTGCACTTTCTTTCCATATACTGCAGGAAACTTGCTCTCAGATCCTTCTCCGCACCCAGAAGGAAATTCATTCACCAAATACACACATTCAACAAAGGGGCGCCTAGTGCACACCGGGCACTCTTCTGCATGCCGGGACGGAGCTGTGGAGAGGGACACAGTCCCTGTCCTTGAGGGGCTGACACTCTGGTGCAGCCAGAGAGAAATAAGAAAATAAGCAAGCAAAGTGGAGCAGGCGGAGTTGGCAGAGAGTTGGATTTTACTGGGTTGGGGATTTTCACCACAGCAAGCTCGAGGGAGGCGGGGAGAGTGTAGACAAGACAGGGGCTGAAATAACCCTGGAATTTAGGCTGGGAAGGGGGCAGTGAGGATTGGAAGGGGCGGAGACCAGGTGGTGAGGCCAGTGCACTGTGCCGCCCCGTGGGGGTGGAGGCTTGAAGGAAGGAGCTGGAAACAGGGTTGTTTTTTGCTTCTCTTTTCTTCTTTTTGGACGAGTGCAGCAGTGAGCAAGGAGGACCGAGTAGAACAGGCGTTTGATCTGTTCACTGTGAGCAGTCCGAGATAACGCACCACCCCCCGGGCGAGCGTGGGAAGAGGTTTGCTTGACGGTGGCATCTCTGGCGGGGTCCGCCTCGACGGTGGGACCCAGTGGCCACACCAGGGAAGACGAGGGCACTGGGGGGGGTCAGAGACGGAGGAGGCGGGCACCCTCGGCTGGCGGGTGAGTGGAGGGGAAACCACCGCGCATGTGCATCGAGCGGGCGGGGGGCGCTGGAGAGAGGACGGCGAGTGGCAGCTGAAACCCTCGAAACCGATGGCCGGGAGCGCCGCGCGGCCGGCCGGGTCTGTGCTGGTGCCAGACGTGTGAGAGTGCAACTTAACTTCACATTTGGGAAAAACTCCTTTCGCTTTCACAGTTAGAACTGCCGAAGGGAAAGAGCTGGCGACCTCATGAAAAGCAGGCCCCAGGGTTTGAAGGCTGAGAAACGCCCAGGAGGGTCCGATTTCAATGGGAGAGAGCTCTTTTTTATGAGACAGAGTCTCACTCTGTTGCCCTGAGTAGAATGTCTTGGAGTCAGTCTAGCTCACAGCAACCTCAAACTCCTGGGCTCAAGCGATCCTCCTGCCTCAGCCTCCCGAGTAGCTGGGACTACAGGCATGCGCCACCATGCCCGGCTAATTTTTTCTATATATTTTTAGTTGGCCAATTAATTTCTTTCTATTTATAGTAGAGACGGGGTCTCACTCTTGCTCAGGCTGGCTTTGAACTCCTGTCCTTTCCTTGAGCAATCCTCTCGCCTCGGCCTCCCAGAGTGCTAGGATTACAGGCCTGAGCCACCACACCGGCCAGGAGAGAGCTCTGATTGCACAATCACGACTGCCCTGGGCTGGTGGTGGTGGGAGGGTAGTATCTACCTTTTTATGAGTGAAGGACCCTCCTGTCATCTCTAAAATCGCACCAAGTAGATAGCCACGGCTTCACAGAGGCTTGAACCTGCACCGATGAGAGCAACTCATCAGTGTCCACATTGCATGCCATCGGGGAGGGAACGGGGCAGAGGAGCTAGGAACGCGGCATCTGCCCGGGTGTGAGTCTGCTCCCTGCTACTCAGCCAACCTCACCTGCGCCGCAGGGCAGCAACGGCACCTCCTCTGTCGCTGGGAAGCCGAGGAGCTCATGTGTGCACAGAGGGCTGTCTGCAGTGTTATGAGGACTCAGAAAATGTTGGCTAGGTACTCGAGTCTTTCTAACATTTGTTGGCAAACAAACAAATACAGGCTTCAATGGCCTTGTGCCATTAGTATTTCTGTGTGTGGGGTGACAAAGTTGAAGGGCCAGTCCTTCCTTGGCTACTTGCATTTGCACAACTGCTGGGAGGCAGCGTGGCTTGGGTGGGGTGAGGCAGTGCAGGGAGTCAGGAGCCCTGGGCTCCCTCCTCAGCCTGTGAGGCCAAGGGCAAGTATGGCCAAGGGCTAACCAGGAAGTCCCTGAGCCTCGGCTTGCCCACCTGTGAAGTGGGGTGACTGTCCTGCCAGGCTCCCATGAGGCTGTTTTGAGGACAAATAAGGAAATGTTCCCGGAAGGTAAGCGGTAACTCACCAGAAGAGTGTACGCAGCTCACCTGTGCTGAGTGCCCACCTACTACGCTGGGCCGGGGATGCCACCTGCCCCTCCCTGGAGCAGTGCCCAGGAGGCACGCCTGGGCCCTAGAGAGCCGGCGGGTGTGGGAGAAAGTGCTGTCAGAGGAACATGCTAGAGGAGCGGGTTACAGGAGCAAGCAGGCCATGGGCAGGTTTGAGGAGAATACACCGAGCAGCACCGCATGTTCCCCTTCTAGAGCATTATCTGACAGATGTGCCTGCCTGTGCACAGTGACCTGAGGGCAAGGCTGTTCACAGGGTTTGTAACTGCACAGGGTTCGAAACCCCTGAACATCCGCCAAGCAGGGGACGAGTTGAATACGCAGGGACACAGCAGAATAAGGAAAAGCTCTTTGTGAACTGACATGGGAAGACCGCCAAGAAACACTGAGTGAAGAAAAAAAAAATAAAAGCTAGGTACAAAACAGTACATATAGCATGCCACCATTTTTTGGTCCAAAATAGCAGGGAAGAATATCTTTGGAATATACTTATTTTTATATACGTAGAATATTCTAAAACTAGTTATGAGAAACCAGTACCCTTAGTTGTCTCTAGGAAGGAAAACTGGGAAATAGGGGTAGAAAGAGGAATATCACTGTATATCCTTTTGTACTCTTTGATTTGGGGACCCTGTAAATGCACTGTCAGAAAAAGAGAGAGAGAGAGAAGGAGGAGGAGGTGGAAGAGGGAAGGACAGAGAAACACCGTGTGGGCTCTAGAATCAGATAGCTTGTGTATTCCAGCTCTGCCACTTCCCAGCCGCGCGACCTTGCCCAAGCTACCCCACCCCGCAGAGGCTCAGTGTGTACAGGAAAGGGGCAGGATAATTACGTAATGCTTCCAGTCTACCTGGACTGTGGGGAGGTTGGGACTAATGAGTTTAAAGCATTTAGCTGGAAATGGTTGCCGTAGCGTTTTACCCAGGCCTGGCTTTCCACTCGCCAGACCAGCTTCCGGACTTCCTGGAGGGCACATGCAATTCATCCTTTGCTTTCACGTGCAACGCCCAGGCACCTGCCCATGGCAGTCCCTGTGCCTGCAGGACTCCAGGTCACAGCAGAGTTGAGGGAGGGAAGTGTCAAATGCAGTACCACCTCCATGCCCTCTGCGAGTGCATGCCCCCAAGATTAGCTGCTTGGCTCTCTGGTAATGGGGTCCTGCTCTACTGAACCCCCAATCCATTCACTCTGGGCTGCACCTCCTTACTCAGAAGAAAACAGCGATTCTCAAACACGAGTGTGCATCTGAATTGCTGGTACAGTACAGGTGCCTGAGCCCCAGGAGGACATCGGTTTGCCCACTGAGTGCTCTAGTGGAGGTCCAGCCACACCTTGTGCTCTAAGTCCCGCTCCCTTTATGCCCCATGTCTCTCCCCAGTTACCGGTTCCAAAGTACTTCCAAACCTCTCCACCTTCACCCTCCACTCTTCGGATTTTGCGAATCTCTCCTTCGAGAATTTCCGCCCCCACCGCCACACATTCATGCACATCTTTCCACTTGCCTAAATGATGCCTGTTTTGACAGAAACAGCTCAAACATTTTCTCCCCAAGGAAGCCATCCAATGTGGGCGCCCCTGCCCCTCCTCCAGGTGCTCGGGGCCTGATTTTGCATCTATCATAGCACCTTCAGGCTTCCTTGAATCAGAATTATCCTTGATAACAATGAAAGCTTTCCCCAGCAAGCGCATACACGTGAGTGGTTTGTTAACATCGGCCCTGGTCCTCCCCAAACCTCAGAGAAATAAGTGTTACTGTCCCTTTTCACAGAGGCAGAAGCTGAGGCTCAGGGCGGCAGAGGATTGCCCAGGGTGGCACAGCAAGCAGGTGGTGGGCTGGGACTCGTTGCACGGGGACTTCCCACGGTTGTTTTTGTGTCTGTGCTGCCCTCCCACCTTTGAGACTGTACACTCTGCAGGCTGCCGGTCAGTTTCTTTTCCTCTCCTTCAGGGCCAGGCCAAGGCCAGTCCCTCAGTGAATACTAACTCAAATTCTTAAGACGGGGACGTTCGTAAGAAAGAGATGCCAGGGTAGAGACCACCCCTGGGGAGTCTATGTGGGGGCGGGAGTGGGGGTGGAGGGGCCGACAGGCTGGTTTAGGGCCGGTTCGCTGGGAAGCGGTGCAGATGCACATCATAACCAGGGAGAAAGGTGGTGCGGCCCAAACAGGACAGGGTAGCCCGTCTGAGGACCGGACGGGTATGGTTCTGACCCTGGGGCACTAGGGAATTAAGGGAATTTGCTGAAATCAGGCAGACATAGGGCCAGAGAAGCGCAAACGCCATCTTCCATTTCATCTAAACATGAAACCTCAGGAGGTTCCTGTGTAAAAATGTATGTGTACCCACCCCACGTGTGGATGCCCTTTACTATCTACATGCAAAGTTACGCATTGCAGGTTGGACTGCCTATCAGAAAGGAACGGCTAAATCCATCAGGTTTTCATATGATGGAACACTCCCCAGCCAAGAAAAGAGGAAGTCCTCACTGCCTCAATGTGGAATAATTGCCAAGATGTATTTTAAGTAAAAAGTGCAACATGCTTAACCAGGGAAATGAAAATTAAAACCACAATGAGTTACAATTTCACATGGATCAGTCTGGAAAATTAAAAAACTGATAATTCCAGGTGTTGGTGAGGAAGTAGAGCAAGGAGAACTCTCAAATCACTGGCAGGCACGTGAATGGTTACAGCCACCTTGGAAAACCGTTTGGCACAATCTACTGAGGTTGACAACATACATTCCCAAGGGCCCTACGAATGCCCTAGAGGGGAAGGGATCTCGCCCAACCCATCTCCCCGCCACACACACGCAGAAGACTCAGTTGAGAACATTCACCACTGTGTTCTTCCTAGAAGCCAAAGTTGAAAGCAACCCAACTGTCTTTAAATAGTCCAATGACAAATTAGTCGTGGTATCTCCATGCAATGGAATTCTATAGAAGAGTGAAAAAGAACTAACTACTACCATGCATGTCAGCACACAGTATCTCAGGTCTCTAACTGTGGGCGGGATAAAACGGTAATCCGTCTGAGCACCAGGTGCATATGGTTCTGACCCTGGGGAACTAGGGAATTAAAGGAATTTGCTGAAAACAGGCAGACTTATGGCCAGAGAGGTGCAAACACCGTCTTCCATTTTCATCTAAATATGAAACCTCAGGAGGTTCCTATGTAAAAACATACTTATACCAACGTTATAGACAGAACACTATCATATTCAAAATCCCAAAAAGTGAAAAAGTATGCAAAATTTATATTATTTTATTATATACAATATTTATGTATGCTATATCTTTATTATCTTTATAATAAATGTCATTTATTATAATATATGATAAACAAGTGGGAGGACAATAAAGAACAAAAGGGGCACGATAAATATAAAATTCAGGGTAGTGTTTAGGGGAAGGGGGAGTGGGTAAGGCACATAGAGATTTAAAAACCGTTTTGTTTTTTTTTTTTTTTTGTCTAGCATAGGTTTGTAGGTATCCATGGTAGTCTATTGTATCGTAGGTGTTTTTAAATTTGTATATACTCTGTAACATGTATTTTTGTATCTATTCAATATGTAATTTAAAAAGTTTTAAAAATGAGGCCTAGAAGAGTGTGAGCAGCGTGCTGTCATTAGTGTAGAAAAAGGGGGTATGGGCACATATTCCTACCCGTTCGTTAAAGTGCTTCTGGAAAGTTACATGCGCAACTGGCGATGTTGGTTGCCTCTGACGAGGGGAACTAGGAGGCTGGGGACAAGGAGGGAGGCTGTCCTGAATTTGAATGACTTAAACCAACTGAAATTAGAAATCATAAAATTTAGAGACAGGAGGATGGAGAAGGGAGGGTTGATGGGAGGAACCAAGTCCTAGCCCCGGGAGGGACAGGAGCAGGAAGAGGGGACCGGCCAGGTCTGGATGCTCAAACCTGGGTGTGCCCAGAGGCACAAGTGGAGCCAGGAGCCCGCCGGCCAGCCCGGGAGGGGCCGCATCCTCCTGACAGCCTGGAGCAGGCCCAGGTCATGCCCTCGCGCCTAGACGGCAGCGCAAGCTTCAGACAGTTGCGCCGGCCAACCCCCGCTCTGCAATCTGTTTCCAGAGCTCTGCTTTCAACCGAGTCTCCCTTGGGCCTCTTTCCCTGCCCCTGCACTCTCGTCTCTGACCTTCACCCCCTTGTGATCTGATAGATTTCTGTGAAGTCGTTTCAGAGTCTTCTGAGCCTTCATCCTCTGCGACTCTGACAAGTGCGTCTGTGGCGCCAAGGTCAGCCAACAGCACGCGGGCCCTTCCATCCCTTTTCATTCCTCCCCTCGAGGACCCAGCATCCTCACGTGTTGCTTCATCAAAACCCGCTGACAGGGAGGCTGAGGCAGGTGGATTGCTCGAGGTCAGGAGTTCAAAACCAGCCTTAGCAAGAGCGAGACCCCGTCTCTACTATAAATAGAAAGGAATTAATTGGCCAACTAATATATATAGAAAAAATTAGCCGGGCATGGTGGCGTGTGTCTGTAGTCCCAGCTACTCGGGAGGCTGAGGCAGGAGGATCGCCTGAGCCCAGGAGTTTGAGGTTGCTGTGAGCTAGGCTGACGCCATGGCACTCACTCTAGTGTTGTGTCAGCCTCGGAGTGACTTTCCATTCCCGGTGCTGTACCTGAGGACAGAGTGGGAACTTCTCGAGCTGGAGAGGAACTGTGTGGCCATTCGCTGGCCTCCTTGCTCACAGATGTCTGTACGGGGCAGAACTTGGTCTATGGAAATGTACTCCGATAGCAAAGTTGCTGGGCTGGAGATACGCAGCTCCTATCTCATTTCAAATGCTGTGGAGACTGCCAGTATTTTAACAAAACAAAGGAACAGGCAACAGGAAAGGATTGGCCTAGGCCAGTTCACTGATTTCACAACAAACCAGGAAGAGCCAGACTTAGGCTGAGGAGGTGTGGGGACTTGCGTGCCAGTCCCAGCAAGAACTTCTGCAGTGACGTCCACCAGGTAACAGCCTCTCAGAGCCCTGGCTCCTCAGCCACCCAGTACGACAACCTAAAATACATGCCCTACCTAGAAAAACAAGAGACTATAACGAATTACTTTAAAATGGTGGAAATGGGTATTTCTGGGTAGTTAGAATAAGGGTAGTTCTTACTTTCTCCTTTGTATATTTTTTTTAATTTCCCAAATTAGATAGCAAAGAACAAATCTTATAATGTTTTATGACCAACTTAGGTAAAATCTCCTGCAGGGGTCTTTCCGGACTGCGCAGCTGAGAGCCCCTCCCCTTGGCCCCGCCCATCAGGAACCATCAACATTGCAACCCAAAAGGCCTCTATATCCCCCCAAAGGGCCAATACAAAGCAGGAAGAGGAAGGGATGCAGACACCGCTTCACGAGTTAAACCAAAGCCAGCCACTTCCACCCAGTCTTACAGGTGCCAAACAAAGACACACAATGTTCTTGGGAAATAACATGACAGCCCTTCTGAAATTTGGGGATAATTAGCTTTTTCTACTGCATGTAGCCTGTGAGCCCTAGCTCTCTTAAGAAAATTAAAGTTGTAGAGAATACTAATTATATATATATAAATTTATTTTCTTCCCACCTCGATGACCTTCTGCTACCTTTGAAGGGAACGGGCAAACAGAAAGGCACCCCAAGCGTCAAGGTCCGGTAAGAGCTTCCCGCCAGCTGCGGCCGAGCAGACACACACCTCCCTGGCCCTTCTTCCCCACCACACGGTGAGTTAGAAACTTCTGCCCCAACCTTTGGAGAAACCATTTCCCTCCTCCAAAGACCTCCTTCCCTTGCCCCAGCTCTAGCAGAGGCCAGACTGGTGCAGCTGGCAGCACCAGAGACGACACACTCACCGTCGGACAGCCGCCGCGGGGGCCTGCAGGCAAGGCCCCGCACTCGCCTCTCCTCAGCGCCCGCTCCCGGACCCGCTCTTACCACCAACGCCGCTTCTCTCCAAGGTGAAGCTCAGACACTGGCCAGGCCAGGGAGTCGGTGTCTCCACCACACATGCTGCAATATAATTTAGCCTCGAGCCCATGCATTTTAATCACAGCATTGATACAATTCATGAAGGACACCTGTGCTCACCTTGAGGCCTCTGAATATGTAGGTCTGTGGGAGCCAAAGGTACTGGGTTCTGGCCCACTACTGCCTTTTCGTGCTTTATGATGCTGAGCACATCTGACTGTGGGATGAGCTGTCGGGCCTAAGACCCTGAGGGCTTGACAGTCTGTGAGAAGCTCTCCCTGGAGGCCAGGCCCCTCCACTCCCCCTCCTCTGACCCTGAACTCTAAACAAAAGGGCTTTCCTCAGGTCTGTCCTTCACCCTCCTATCCCTCCTTGGCCATACTTCTAACTGCCCAGGTGGGCTCCAGTGCCCCCCATTCTGTCACCTGCTCCCACCTTTCTCTAGCAGGCCCAACTCCCACCTGCCTGCTGGAGGTTTTTCTCGGATGTCCTATAAGCAACACACTCATCAAAAACTACTCCTCCTTTTCCCCGCAAAACCCACAGTTGATCCCTCCAGACGCCAGGCAACCTTGTCTTAACACTCCTGCTTTTTGACTTTGATGTTTAGTTACCAAGCTCCAATCAAGTCTCTCTCCTGATCCTACCCTTCAATGGCTGCTGCTACGTACAAATACCTTGCCCTGGCTTCAGGGTCCTCTATTACGTCAATCTCAGGGAGGCTCAAGGTCACACAGCCAGTGACAGGGCCCTTACGCCCAACCCCCTGCCTCACCACCTCAGTGGCTTCCCAGGGAGTGGGAGGTCGGTTAGCCACTGGCTTTGGAATATGCACAACACCTCCCTGGGCCATGACTTTGCCTCCTTTTCAGCCCCACCTGATAAAATCGTACCCATCTCTGGCCATTTTTCCTTTATTTCCAAAATGTTGTATAGAATGAGCTCATAATTTCACTCTAAATATTTTGTAAATACTTTGCAAGTGCCTTTATAATTCAAAATACAATTCATAAACAAAGACTTTTAAAACCCATTTTTCAAGGCTTGAATTGCTTCTTTATTCAGAAAGCTTTTTTTTATTCCCCAACTAAACATGATGTCTCCCCCAAACTCCTCCATTATGTCTGGGACCCTCACGTTGCCTCCCTCAGTTGTCTGAGATGTATCTTATAAATCAGGCTGCAAGTGTCTTGAGATCCGGGCTGTGTGAGAATCTTTGCACCCCCACCACAGGACACAAGGTTTCCCGACACGGAGGCTGTACTCTGTTAGTGTTATACCAAACTGAGAACTTTTACACTTTAGTGATTTCAATGACAAGAAATTTCAAAGGCCCTGTGGAGAGGATCAGAAGACCCCTCTGTCCTCAGCCACACCATGGATGCGAGCACAGGAACCAGGTGGACCCGAGAGGAGAATGGGATAGGGGAAAAGCTATTCTAGGCCCAGCAACCAGTTTGTCTCTGGGAACTTTCCCTCTGCTTCTGCTCTTTGAAATGTGTCTTTCTAGAAAGAAATGTTGGAGCCATAGCCACTGAGAGGTGGGAACACGATACAGAACAGGCCAGCGCAGTCTTGAAATGCTGTGGAGCCCACAAGGAAAGCCTTGGCCAGAACCTTGTGATTCTGCCACCATTTCTTAGCTGGCTGACCTTGGTTCAAGTCCCTCTTACTGGTCTGTTGCCTTGTCTGTAAAATGAAGACCAGGTAGGCCAAGGATCCCTTCCAGATCTTAGAGAGCAAAGCTATGCCCTCCCTCATCCCCCGTGTGTCCCAGCAACCCATCCACAGCACAGGAGCAGCAGCAATGGCAACGGGGCATGAGCATCCTCCAGTCTCACATTCGGCAAGCTTGGCAAATAGGTGCCAGAGATGTCTAAAGGGCCACTTCTCCTGCTGAATGAGAAGCAGATGCTCCTAAAGGAACATGGCCACAGGGAAGGTGAGGCATGGGAGGGCAGGCTGGACCTTCTACAGCCCCCAGGAGGCGGCAGCGCCGGCTGGTAGGGAAGCACAGTCAGAGCCCGCCTTCACCCCCTCTGAGCTCCGAGAGACAAACTGACAGAGCCCTCTCCAGCTGGCAGTGTGCAGCAGCCAGGCAGCCCTGTTCTCAATGGCCCTCGGCCTTTTGAGGAGGAGGAGGGGGGCTGTGGGAATTAGGAGGTAAGAGGCAGGCCCCCATGGATTACACCAATCACAGCACAGCAGCTGCTGCCCATTAGAACATTTATTTCTCGGAGAGAAAATAAGTTTGACAGTCATATTATAGTAGGTAAAATTAACTTTTGTATTCTTTACAAGCATAGATTTTTCTCTGTTTATTACCTCTCTTATACCATCTGTTATAAACAATTCTAGAAAGCAAATAAAGTCACTTTCTACAATAAATAGAGCATCATGTGCTTCACAGCAGACGCGACAGAGACACGTAGGCCCCATGCCACAGCAGGATCTGAGCCATTTCCCGTTCTAAAAGAGCATTTTAAAAAATGAGACTCAGAGAGAGACTGAAAGATTCAAAGAGATCGAAAAATGAGGAGAGAGATTAAGAAGAGAAAGTGTTGGGCAGGGGGAGAAAGATAGGTAGACATAGAGAGGGAGAAAGCCTCGAGATCTTACGACACAGGTTTAGACAAAGGTCACAGAGTCCACAGCTGACCACTACCTGGGGAGAGGGAAGCATTGGCTCCTTTAAATAAACCACGCCGTGTGGCCACACAATGGAGGGCTCCAATAATGGGAACTATAGGTTTGAATAATTTAGAACAGTATTTTACAATTATGTACACCGTGTCCTTCTCTAGCCATATGCTATATTGTGTTTTTATTGTTGTACAAAATCCAAAACCTCATCCTCTATGTTATAGTGTTTTGTTGGTTCCCTTTTAAACTCTGGCTCATGTCCCAAATGTATAAGAAGTTGTGGTGGTTGGTTGGTTGTAGTTTTAAAAAGTCGAGTGTGTAAAAATGGCAGTGATCTCCCCAGTGACTTTGTTTTGTCCAAAACTCCCCTACGAAAAATTTAAAACAATTAAAAAGAACATCAGGTTAAAAATCAACATGGCAATCAGTGGCCTGCAACCTGGCCCTGCAACTTTGGTGCTTAGGAGGTGAAAAGAAATGTCTAGAGAACAGACATTGAAGCCTCTGAAAGTTGTATTGGTTTGTCAGTCAGCATTCCCCATTCACAGTTTTTTTCCCTTCCATTTTTGCGAAGGTGAAAGTGGAGAAGGGGTTAAAGAGAAAGACGGAAGGAGACAGAGGATTTGAAATAAAAGTGCTGCGGCTCCCCGGAGTGGGGAAGTGGGAGCAGCAGAGGCCGGGCGGGGCGGAGCACAGGCCAGGAAGATGTTTGGCAGCAGGTGCCACGCCATCCAGGTGGAAGAGAGTGAGATTTAAGACTGCAGTCGCAGAAAAAGCCCACGAGGAGAGGATGAGGGGGAAGGAGGCAGACCCAGCTGAAGGGCACGGCTCCACCCCGACCACCCTCAACATCCAGGTGGACAGATGGGACACTCCCACACCCAGCCGGGTCTGATGACAGAAGCCCTCGAGCAGCCTCGGCCCGCCTCGCGGCCACACAGGGAAGGGCAGCACAGCCCTGCCTCCATCCAGGGGGCATACTCGCAGAGCCGGGCCTCAGCTGTGTTGGCAGCAGAAGTGAAAAGGCATGTGTGGGGTATCCTGGGAGAGGGGTCGCCGTGTGGTGGGCTAGCCTCTGTCTGGGCCCTGAGGAGCCTGGCGGAGACACCCACCTGGCATAGCAGCTGGCCTCACGGGGAATGAGACGTTAAAGAAAAAGACCAGTTTGGTGAGGGTTTCTGTCAGTTTGGCACAAGAGAGAAAGAAAGAAAAGGAACGTGGGAAAGAGAGAGCTAGACTGGGCATGGATGCAGAAGGTGGGACAAGGAAGAGGTGTGAGAATGGGTGATGAGGGGGAGAGAGGGTGAGCTTGAGGAGATTCCCCTCAGGACCCTGGCGTATCCACAGCATCTCTGGGATCAGTGTCAGAACCTCACCCGCCCTGAGGTGTAGTTAGTGGGAGTGGGATGAAGGGGGCCAGACAGCCCTTCAAGAAGGAGCCCAGGACTTGCCTTCTGGGCCATATCCATCTCCTTGGCTAGGCCTAAGCCCCACAGCTGTTTCTACTTCTAACTGGTTCTTCAGTGGAACATCCTCTGAGGGACCCTGGGTGGGAGTTTTTGGCACACAGCAGGCCCTCCAGGGGAACCATGCAATTGGTCACAACTGGGACCTTGCCCTTAGTGAGGACACAGCCCAGTCCCTGGCCTGCCATGAGAAGGGGAAGCTGCCGGCCATACATCTGGCTGGGGCAGAAGAGGCTTCTCTGTGCCCCATGGGAAGGAGACAGGGCAAGTAGACATAGGCCTGGCCTCACCCTCACAGGTAGCTAGAAGTGACAAAGGAGTGGGGCCCCCGGACTCGGCTCAGGTGGATCATCGCACGGTCATAGGCCACCTGCACTGACTTGCGGATGCTGGTCTTGCGGCCTTCCAGCATCTTGAGCTTGTCCACGGTGTCTTCCACACCCAGGGGCAGGACTTTGTCCCTTGGAAGCCACTGCCTGAAATGCAAGCACAGTAAGAGGCTGGACCATAGTGGGTCCCACAGGGGACTCCTCTGGGCTCACTTCCCCAGGACCAGCAAGGCTAGGGGGAGGGGACACCCCATGCAGGAGGCAACAAAGAACCTGGAGGTCAGGGCGGCAAGCAGGGTGTGCAGGGCTAGGGAAATGGCATGTGACCTATGCAGCTAGGTCCTTCCCTGGACTCCCACTTGGCTTGAAGGGTTGCCAAGGCCCATCAGCCAAGAGAAGCCTATCCGCTGCTCTGTAGGATCAAATGAGCCACCTGGGAGGGCTCTGAGCCTCGAGTTGCCTTGGGCAATTAGGGAGCTAGGGCTAGGAAGCAGAGCTGATGTCAAGATTGGTGAACTGATCTCTGGTGGGGCCTGCGCCCTCTGTGTTTGTTTGTTTTAATTTTTTTAATAAATATTTTCTTATTTTTTTTCTTTTTCTTTTTTCAAGAGCAGGTGAGAGTACCCAGTGTGTTTTTAAAGTGTGGCTAAGAGCATAGCCTTCAGAGCCAGATCTCAGTTTGTATCCCAGTTCTGGCGATAGGGTCTTGGCTTTCTGAGCCTCAGCTTCCTCACCTGCAAAATGGATTGTGAGGGGATTAATGAAAGTTTAAACAGCATTAGATGAAATAATATATGTAAAGGCACTTACATAAGTATATGGAGTAAGCACTCAACAACTGGCAGCTATTATCATCATCATTTTTACTAGCTAGTTCGACTTCCTCATTTTATATAGAAGCAGAGGTGAAAGCACTCACCTGCTGGTGCTAAGAGAAACCTTCAGGCAGACATTCTCAAACTATGGCCCTTGGGCTACATGCAGGTGTTTTTGCCCGTTGTTCATATTTTTTTAAAACTATAGTCCGGCCCTCCAACGGTCTGAGGGACAGTGAACTGGCTGGCCCCCTGTTTAAAAAGTTTGAGGACCTGTGCTAGGGTGTTGCAAAGCCTGACCCGCCCGCAGGACTGAGACAGACTTCCCCACAGCTACTGGAGTGTTGGTAGCCAACAGACTCTCAGCTGAGCCCCTCTCCAGGAATCACCCTACACCAAGGAAGCTGCCTGGCCTAAGGTCACAGCCTTCCCTCCCCAGGGGCAGTGGCATTCAATGACTAGTTGGTGTAGAGGTACAAAGATATGGCCCCAATTCCCAATATCTCTATCAAGCCACCCAGCTCCACATCTCCCCAGAGAATGAGCTGAGGCCCCCAAGCCACCCAGCTCCACATCTCCCCAGAGAATGCGCTGAGGCCCCCGTTGCAAGTGCACTGCAGTTTAACTTTCTCCCCTGCCCAATGCTACACTCTTCACCCCCACAACTGCCCCCCTCACCCCCCGCCCGGCCCAGTAAGCCTCCTGACACAAATCTCCATCTCAGAGTGTTTCCCAGGGAATCTCATTTGCAACACCCCTCAATTACTATTAACACTATTAATCAGTGTTATGAGTAACGCTGTTACTATTAAATGGCAAGTGCAGGCCAGCTGCTGGCACATCATGCCTCCCTTTCATAGGTGGAGCCCAGGGTAACTGAGTTTATGGCCCCTCTGTGCCTCAAGAGCACAGCAGCACGGGCACAACCTCTTGGCATGCCTCCCCCACCCCGGCAGCAGCACCCTGGTGTGGGCACCCTGCAGCAGCAGCACCCACTCACCATGTACGCTTGTTGTCAAAGAAGAGGACAAGGAAGAGCTTCTCTCCAGCCTCTGCCTGTTTCTGCTCTCCCAGCTTCAGCACGTCCAGCGGGGGGACAGGGATGGGAACACCATTGTGCAGGAGGCCCTCCCGGGGCATCTTGGGATCGATGATCTGGAGGCAGAATGAAAGACCGGCACTCAGTAGGGGAGGACAGGGTGAGCTGGGTCCCCTGCCACAGGACAAACTGCCGAAACGCCCCATACCAAAGTCATGCAAGGGCTCAACCTTGCTCACAACCAAGTGATGAAGAGGCTGACCTCTTCCATGACCCCCAGGCAACCCAAAATGGAAATCTTGACTCTGTTTCCCCAGTTCATTGTCCTAATCTTCTGGCCCTGCCCAACCAGTCCTTCTGATGAGAGAACTTGCTCCACAAACTATCAGGCCCCAAAGCTGAAAAAGCAGTGGGAAGCCCAAGTGGGGAGTGTCAGGCCTGAGTGGGATTATCTTTGACATCCAGGCCAGATAGGCAAACCCCTTCCTCCCAATGTTCCTTAACAGAGAAGAGTGGAGGCCATGCTTTTCCTGTCAATTTCCCTAGGCACCATGGCTATGAAGGCAAGGCTGCCTCAGCAGGGCTGTCCCTTGAGTTCTATCTAATAGGATTCCTGGTTACCCACCACCATCATGAATACAATCCTTCTTGGTGTGTGGACCAGATACATTTTTGACACCCATGGTAAGATCAGAGAAGAAGCTCTGTGTGTGTATAGCTAGAAAACTGAGCTCAGAGGGTCAGTGGAGAAGGGGGAATGATGTGTTTGGAAACAAGGGTCATGGAAAGCATTAATCCTTGAGGCAGCAAGCTCCACAGGGCAG